TAATTCTGCTTTTTCCATTTCCTTCGTATCATTTAGAACATTAGATGGTTTTGTTGTAATTTCCTGTTGCTGTTGTTGTCCTTGTGCAAGTTTAACCTTTCGAATGGCTTCAGTAACAATACGTAAATGTTCCTCTCTTGCCCTCATAACTTCAGCAGTATCAACAACCTGTTGGGGGGGCACATAAATTTTAGGAGCTGTTAAAATTAGTTTTTCTAATTCACTTTGTGTTTTCTTTTGGACATTGTGATCTTTATTTGCTTGCATAACTAGACTTAAGAGATCCTCACGTACTTTCACAACTTCTGGTGTATCAAGTGGTTCTACTTTTACTACAGTTTGATTAATGTTTATTTTACTTGAGTCCTTTTCGTTGGGCTCTTCTATCGATGGAAGATTTTCTTTTGATTCTGTTGAGACTTTTTGTGTTTCATTCGCAATAGCTGCCATGAGTTTTTCCACATTATATGGCATTTTCTCTGGCGACACTATATTCAAATCTGTAGCACTCGATTCCGATGTTGCTTTTCTTTCGTTGCCACTTTCAGTGCCGATTTTAGTAGCAAAACTAATTTCTGATTTTTCAATTTTCATCTCATCCGAAGCTTTAGTTTCAGTATTCAAATCATGAACATCCGATTTTATTATTTCATCAATTTTGTCATTAGCCTGGTTATCTTTAATTTTATGTTCATCCCCCTGAGGTACCTGTTTCCAAATATTCAAATGCTCTTCCCGTATTCGCTTTATTTCTGGAAGCTCTGCAATTTTTGAATAGTCTGCGGTAAGAGCAATTTTTTCCAGTGGTATAAATTTCAATAATGTTTCAGCGGATGGCTCCTTGCCCTCTCCCCTCAACAAATCAATTTCTCGTTTTAAAACTTGATATTGTTGTAAGGACCAACCACGAAAATGTGCTTCTTGAGCTTTATTGATATCACTGGACTCAGCTGGTCCTAACGCTTGAAGTATGGGTGCTTCCCGATTTATATAATTGATTTGGTGTATGGCATAAACTGGTTCAGCATAATTATAGCTAACTATACGTTCAATTCCTCTATTATCCAAATAAACTAAAAATCCTTGGGTAGCTGTAGTTTTATCTTTAAATTGACCATGCCTAGGATCATGAGCCAATAGTGAACGAAAGGGGTAGCCAATTGTCAACGATTGAGCACTGCTAATTGTTAATATGCTGAACAGATATAACCACATAATTTTTTATTTTTAAAAATTTAAACTTTATCTACTTTTCTTTACAAACTTTTAACTTCGCTTGTATGGTAAATGCTGCAAAACTGTAACAAACTTCTGCACTGACCACTATATTTATAGCCAAGTGCAGTTAAGGAAGTCAAAAGAAGATTCTCACTATAACAGAACAGGAATAAAGCAGCATACATATTTTGTTAAACATAATTAGCCTAAATAAAATATTCCAAATGATCGACCTTGATCTCTATGCGACAAACTGAACAAGTCAACCAATCAAGTGCAACTACTAGCTTGACAGGATGCTATGTAATAATGTAACGTGTATATTTTTAATTGTGAACATTTAACTGTATCTTCTTACAGTGATACCGATTAATATGCGATGAATGAAATTTAATACTTATTAAATAGTTTTTTTTTTTTTCAAACTTGCTAAAGAATTAAATGTATTCACTATTCCAAGAAATCAGAAATTGTTTAATTACACAGGCCAACAAATGTTTATCTCTGAGACCAAAGTACATATACTTTAATTATAAATTCAGATGCATTTAATTCGAATCTGATCATCAGGTTTTCGAGATATCGTGTGATAAAGTTTCAAGCCCAGTTTTTTCACAAATTTAATTTTTGGACTTTTTTTAAAGATTATTTTTTAGGTAACATCCATTTAATTAGAATGCAGGGTTCTAAATTTAACTCTAAGCTAAATATGTGTATATAGCCCTACAAGATTTTCGGAGATCGTTTCCTGGCATGTGGCGACTACAACGCTAAGCACACATACTAGGATTCCAGATTACTGAATCGCAAAGGCATATAGCTGTACAGAACTCTAGTTGATTACAGAAACCATTTAGATTTTATATCCTCCGGTCACCCAACTTATTGGCCTCCCGATCCTAGAAAGATATTTGATGTAATAGATTTTGTCATAGAAATTTAGTTAGAAACTCTATTACAGCGGAAATATCATATGAATTATCTTACGACAATTTTCTCGTGATACTGAACTATTACAGCCAATAACAATTGTCTCATATAGAAATTTCATTCTTCAAGACTGTTTGATTGAAAACAAACAATAAGGCATTGCTGAATCGGATATACCCACCGTAAAAGGAATGCTCGAAATGACAACAACGCGTTATTGCAATGACAACGATGCGTTGTCAAAATTAAGACGGTGGTTGTCAAAATGATAACTGGGTGTTATTTAAATTTTATACACATTCGCTGACTAAGTGTTAACAAACGTAGTAAGCTCACTTTTCACAACGGGTTATATCAATTTCAGTACTTTTATACCGATTGTTTCCCTATGTGTAAGAGTAATTTTCTGAAGGGGACCTTATATACGTCAATTATGAACCGATACTCATAAAATGATCTACATAGATTTTGTCAAATTTCATCGCTATATATAATAAGGAAAATTCGTATTTTAAAAATGCAAAACCCTTTCCTGCATTGAACCTTATATAGGGGCTACGGTCAGTTGTAGAATAATCCTCATTAAATTCAGCATGAAGAATTATGTTCCTAAATATAAACATAGGAACATAATTCTTGTAATTTTCTGAATCTTCCTCATCAGATCTTCTGAAGAGGACCTTATATGATGAGTAGGGCCAATTATTGACCGATACTTATAACATTTTTTAGACCGATTTTGGTTCATATAAAACTGGTTTACTTTGAATATCATCGCTGTACTCGTATTTTTATGCTAGTAATGAGCGTTAAAGTAATTTTCTGAATGGTACTTTATATGGGTGGTAGGGTCAATCATGTTGATTGTCATAGAGGTCAGTAGAGGGGATTTGGCTCGTGAGAAACTTACTTATTTCGAATTTCATACTCATACTATATTCGTACTTATAAGTCATGAGCGTTGAAGTCATTTTCTGAAGGGGACCTTATATGGAGTGTGAAGTAATTCCAATTATGGACCAATCCTCATAAAATTTGGTGTAGAGATTTTGTCTCATATGAAACTTATTTATGTCGAAGTTCATAGCTATACTCGTACTTTTAAAACAGTTATGCCAACTTGTATGGGAGCTATCCGAAAACGTCGACCGATATTGCCCGTTTTAAATACCAAACAAACCTTATCAATAGAGAATATAAGAATAATTTTCAACTGCCCAGCTCCTCCCATGTGGTCCCTATCATGATTTCAACAGACATACGGACGAACGTGGCTTCATCGTCTTGGAATTTAATAAGGACATCTTTTTTGATGGTGGGTATAAAAATATATAATCAATCAGTCAGTACAGTATCAGTAATCGTTTCGGCCTTAAATCACTCTAAGTGCCAAATTCCTCCCAAACCTAAAATGTATATTCTAATGCAGAAATTGATATATTTCTTCTCGAGAAGTGGATATCTAGAAGAGATTGGCAACTTAACAGATCTCCTTTGGCTAAGCAAGTAAACAATTAAAAAGTGCAATGCTTTCGGAAATGATCGCAGAAATCGAATTTATATTAAATGTTTAACCAATACTAAGCACAAAAAATTCTTCCATTAGGCGTGTTATCTGTTCACACGTAAAAAGACTCTGTCTGAACTAATCAATATTTATTTCGGAAGATGTTCACAAAATCTTGTATCAAATAACTATGATTCTGATCATAGGGAAGGACCGATCAGCTTATTGCTTTGTAGTGCTGTAATATTCTACTACTTTTGATTACTCAATACTACTCAATACTTTTCGTTTGGGTACTCAATACTACTCGATACTTTTAACGGTTTTATTTTAAATTAAAAAAGAGGAATTTTTCCTTTTTTTAAGTAAAGTTAGATCAGACATCACACCTCTTTTAAGACATTTTATTTTTTTTTTTTTAGATTGCGTCAATAAATACTTGTAACTTTTTAACTATTATTGCAGTTTTTAAATTATTTTTACATTGATTTGATATTGCTAAGAGTTGCATTTCTAATAATGATATGATCTGTATTAGTTGTAGAGCTGTATTTTTTCACATCATAGCCGTTAAATTTAAATAAGTTAAATCCATATACAAATCTGAAAGTATTGAGTAACTACTTTTTAGTATTGAGTACCCAAAAAATAGGGCAAATACTCGATACTCGATACCCACTACTCAATACTTTAACAGCACTATTGCTTTGTTTTTGTCAAAACTATTTGAGAAGGTTTTCTAAAGGAAAATTTAACATTTTGAAATAGTAAAAACGTTATCCCAGATCATCAATTCTTTGACATCACTGAACAAGTAAACCGCTTGACTGGAGAGATACGATAATCTTTTGAACAAACCAAGTACTGTACGACAAATATTTTTAGATGCTGTCGGTAGGATTTCGCAAATATTACTAATACATAAGACATCTACTGCCTTCAAATCGATTATTGAGAATAAAATGTGGAGATTATGTCACAAGTTATTATGCGATCAAAGCTGGTGTTCCTCAGGAAAGTTTTATAGAAATTACACTTTACCTATTATAAACCTCTGATTTGCCTATGTCCAACGAATTAACCAATTCCATTTTTGCTGATTATACTCCCATTCTTATTAGTCATATGGAATCAAACCTAACTACTTATCTCGAGTGGAGACATGGTTGAAAAACGTACGCATCGCACCATCCTATGTTCAAAATCTAAACGCACTTTGATCAACTACATACATACATGTTTATTATTGATCCCAAATCTCTTATATTGAAATGGGGCGAAATCTGTCTATCCAAAAAATGGAAATGTTTAAGTTTCCCACACTATTTAATTAAAGATCAATTTGTTTAATTTTTTGTAGTTTTTCAAACTAATTTGCATTTAATGTCTACTTTTTAATTTTTTTAGTATAATACTTAAATAATAAATGTTAATATCGTTAATTTCACATTTTTAAATCTTAACAAAAAAATTTCAAATAAAAAAATCAGTAAACTTATGCTTTATAGTTTATCCATAATCATTATTAAACAAGTGCCATGATCTTGCAGTCTTTTATAGGGAATGTTTTAATTGCAATCTTTCACGGAGGAGGGATTCTGAAGTCTAGCTAAACGTAATTGCTCCAAAGCCAACTCATGAGCGCGGAAATGATCGTTGGCTGCCTTTTCCCAAGCACTAAAGGGTACAGCAGTATCAGCCGGTTGGGAACTAGCGGTATTGTGATGATATTTGTATTTAGTATTATCATCTTTAACATATTGATGTTTTGATCCACTGGATTGATGGGAGGTGGGTACATAACGACTAGCTGGAAGGGTATTATCACTGGATTGTGCAGCACTGTTGGAGGTGATGGAATTGCCTGGGTTACTACTAGAAGGATTTTCTACTGGAGTGGTTTTGAGAATAGGAGAGCTTTGACTAACTGAGTATTCTAAGCGATTGGCAGTTTCACTTGAGACAGAGTTCACTTTTAAGAATGGATTTTGGGCATATTGTTGGATCTGTTGTCCTATCACTTCTGAGCTTTGTTGGCTTCGTGCTTGTCCTATGTTCGTGAAAAGCGGTTGTCTAGTTGGAATTATAGCGAGTTGGACTTGTTGATCGGCCGGCTCATTTTGTATTATTATTTCTTGATATTCGCCATTTTTAAGTTCTTCTTGTTCCTGTTGCAAACGTTTGATTTCCAACAAACGTTCCATTTCCGAACGTTGTTCTTCCTCTAACCTAAGGCGTATAAGTTCTGCTTCCATTTGTTTCTTTTCCTCAGCTAAGCGTTCAGCTTCACGTATACGATCCAATTCTAACAATTGCTGCTCCTTTTGTAAACGTTCCGCTTCACGCAAACGCTCCAATTCCAAGAGACTATCTTCTGCTATTGCAAGTTCTTGTGGATTTTGCAATAACGCTGGACTAGGAAAACTTCGGCCACCTTCATTAGCCTTTTGTTGTTCTGCTTGTGTCTTGATGGCATTGAAAATGCGCAAATGTTCTTCTCGTGCACGTTGTACTTCAGGGGTTTCTTCCACAACAGGTACATAGACGGATTGCTGCTCTTCTTCTGAAGGGAAAACTATGCGTTTATCATTAAGTTTAGCTTGATTTACCAGACGCAAATGCTCTTCACGTGCTTTAACCACTTCAGGTGTTTCTTGTATAATCTGTGCAGCTGCAGGATGATGAACCAATTTTTGATGTTCATATTGGGTCGTTAAGATGGGAGTTTGGGTTTCGTATTTATATTTTAATTCTTGTTGTTCTACATATTGTGCTCTTAGATTCGCCTCGTGAACTAAACGTAAATGCTCCTCGCGGGCTTTAACAACTTCAGGAGTTTCGACTACCAAAGGTTGTTCCACTCGGTAATTAGATAATGGAGAAGAACCTTGTGATTGGGCAGAGGGAATATTCTGATTACTGGACTCTGAGTATAATTTAACTTTTTCCTTTTCAGAAATTGAATAAATATTTTGTGATTTTTGTTCTTCTTGCTCCGAGGCCCTTGCTCTTTGAATGGCTTCATTAACGATGCGTAAATGTTCTTCACGAGCCCGCACAACTTCAGGAGTATCAACTATCTGTTGTGGAGCATTAGAAGGCTCAGCTGTGGACATGGATGTTTTGAAGTTCTGTTCTTTCTCATTGTTTGCTAAATCTTGATTGATTTGTTCATTTTTCAGTTTAACTTCATCAACTAAACGTAAGTGTTCTTCGCGTGCTTTCAAAACTTCGGGTGTATCAACAACTTGTTGTTGTACTGAATCCAAACCTGAAATGGAACTTTTTACACTATTATCCACAGAAGCTTGCAAACTTTGGGTTGCTGATATTTGAGTGTTTGGAATATTTTCTTTAGGATTATAAATATTTTGGTCATTGGTCAATGCAGAGATCTGTTGTTTCTCAGCTGTTTCGGAAATACTCCTTTCACCACTTTCTTTACCAGCTTGTTCGGCACGTAGTTTTGCTTCATTCCATAGACGGAAGTGTTCTTGCTGGGCACGTTCCAACTCTGCCAATGCCTTGCTATTGTCTATTTGCTCCATAATTGGTTTGTCAACATTTCGCGATTTCAACGAAGCCTCCTGCACATATTTCTTATGTTCCAATTCTAATTGTTTCAAATGTGCAATTTGCTCATTGTAAATTCGCAGATGTTCTTCACGGGCGTGTTTTTGTTCTGGTGTTTCTTCAATGGCTACTAAAGATATATTCGAGTTGCCGATATAAGTCTTAATCTCTCCTTGGTTTTGTTCAACATTAGATTGTTGATTTGAGGATTGTTGCACAGATTCCCTGTATAAACCACTGATGCCGGCTTCGACATCTTGTAGAGTACGCTTCACCTCTGGTAATTCCGCTATGAGTGAGAAGTCGGATGCAAAAGCTATCTTTTCCAATGTTTGTAACTTCAGCAATGCCTCCACAGCAGGTTCTTTACCCTCGTTCTTTAAGGCATCAATGTCACGTTTCAAGTTCTGATACTGTTGCAGAGATGCAGCACGAAGATATGCTTCACGGCTTTTGCTAGTGTCGTCTGACTTATTGATCACAAATGTTTCTAGTGCGGGAGCAGCGCTATTAACGTACTTAATCTGACGAACAGCATATACTGGCTGGGCATTATTGTAGCCAACTAAAGCCTCAGCTCCATTATTATCCAAATAGCGCAAATAACCGTGTACAGATCCACCTTTTGGTGCGTACTGCGCCTGAACAGGATTATAGGTCCATAATGAACGATACGGATAGCCAATGGCTACCGATTGAACACTTTCTATGGCCAATATACTTAACAAATATAACCACATGTTATTGGTGAAAAATTAATTTAAGTAAAAAACTTCTAAACTACTGCTTCTTTCAACCAACCCCCAACACAATGTGTATGGTGAATGATGCCTCGTAAGAAGTTTACTGGAAACTGTGTCCAACTCCAGCACTTACCTTACTATTTATAGTTAAGACGCATTTAAGGAAGTCACTCGAATTTAACAGAAACAGAACATTAAAACGAAATAAACATAAAACAGAATCTACTGAAAGATTCTAGATGATCGACCTTGATCTCTGCGCGACCAACCAAACAACGGCATATGTACTCCTCCGTTAAGTGTAATTGTAGCCTGTCAGGATAACCAAGCGGAAGCATTAAACTTAAATTTGCTTTTAACAGCAGACGTTTTTAACTGTATCTGTTGACACTGCAACATTAATATAAATGACAAAAAATGCTGTTCTACGACTTACATACTACAACGAAATACGTAATTTATACGAAATATGCACAAACTTCTGAACCCTTTTTTCGAGTAAAGTCAAGTAAGTAGCATTTGATTGAACGGTTTCTGTGGTTTTAAACATCTAGTTTTCACAATATTTTGTTGTGTTAAATTCATTTTCGATTACAGTAAACTTACTTACAGATACTGTTTGTATCTAAAAATAGTTGCATTCTTTTAGCATCTTCATTGAAAGTACCCTACAGGTTGCTTTTGGCATTATTTATGAATTATTCATGTGAATGCCGCGGCCAATTTCGCAAGCTTATGATTATGATTTTGTTGATGATTTTTGGTTATATCTCACAAATACTATGATAGATCGTTTCGAGATTATTCGTGTAGTATCGGTCTTTGAAGGAACCTCACAGATCTAAAGCGGAAAAATTGGCATATCCAAAATGGCTGACAATATGATTACTTAACTAAGAATGAAAAATATGTACTGTTATATGGTACCACATACCATTGAACCCAAAGATTACACATGCCACCAAATTTAAAAAAATTCAAAAAATTGGTCATATATAACACGTTCTGAAAGTCCAATCTGTAGACTATAAAATAATGGTTTAACCTTTGTTATATCTTCTTCTTTCTTGGAGATATCCTAACCCAAATCTTAAATCTACTATTAATTTATACAAATGAGATATTAACTTTACTCTACGGCAAAAACTTCAACGGGCGATATCTCAGCAAATACAAGAGATTTTTAAATATTATTTTAAAGGGGAAAGTTATGACAAATTAAAACATATATGTTTGTCATAAGATAAAGGTCAAACGTAATAAAAAATTCAGAGTTTTTAAATTTATGGTTGTATCAAAATTTGTTTTAAGATATCTCGAAGAAGGAAGAAGATATAACAAGGGTTAAACCTAATCTAAAGTCAACGGATTGGACTTTCGGATGATATAATAGATTTTAACCTCTCAAAAATAGGACAGGATATCTCAAAAATCTGATGGAGGGAGGTCAAATTCGGATTTAGCGCAGTTAAATCTTTTAGAAAACATACTGAAATTGTTTTGATTAGACTTGCAAAATATTTATATACACCGACTGAGTGGATTCCAATCTACACTAATGGGTCAAAGCATAAACGGTTACTGACCAAAAATACTCATCATACGGTATTGAAATGTTCATATTGACTAATGGTTATAGGTTATACTTTTACAATTATTTTAATAATTGTTTTATTATCTTCTCTACCCCAAGAAAAAAATAAAAAAAAGACCCATCAAGGTCATTTAGTGTCTCCCAACTCTGAATGCCCATTTAAATACTTGACAGTATGTATTTTTAGATATACACACAGTCATGTCACCTTAATGCAAGTTACCCCTCCATGCGTGAAAAACGTGTTTAAAAAATCATAAACTTAAAACGAACCTAAAATTTAAAAAAATAAACAAGTTAAAAGGTACAGTTACATTACGTTTTAACCATGAACATTAGGGTGAACTCGTTTGCAGGGAGGCAACAAAAATATGTAAATGTTACCAGCCTTAATATACAATTTTTGCATAAAATATAAATTTAACTAATTTGGTCATAAAATGGACCGTCTACATTTAGGAGGATAGAACCTTATCAATGCAATTATGCTTTAGTCCGCCTGACTTTTTGAGACTAAAAACGGATCTAGCAGAGATTTACATAATAAGTAAGTGTGACCGTATCTCTAGTCTTGTTGATGGGTCCAAACAAATAGATTGTGAAACTGGAGCGGACATTTGCGAACTTAACTTCCAGAAGGCAAACAACGTATTGCAGACGGAAAATTACGCTATATTCATCTGTGCTAGAGAATGCATGAGGAAAAAGTTCAGATGAACAGCCAAGCAGCGCTCAATGCCTTATTGTCGTATGTAGTCAGATCGGGAGCTACAATAATATACTGCATGACATCATGGAATATGTTGGGTAGATATACCAAATTAATAGTATTCTGGATACCTGGTCGTAAAGGTCACTCTGGCAATATTCATCGCTTATTTATCGGCGCCGAACCTTTCTTCTATATTCCACAAGCATATGGTAGAATCCGAATTTGATCGCAGGTTCAGGTGACGATATTGTCTAATTGCCTTTGGGTGATGTATCAATAGCTCAATATATTAAGCATGCGTGAACTAAATCTGCAAAGGTGATCTAATTTTATCTTCAATCGGCTCTCAAAATTGTGTTCTGACAATGATTAATTTTTGGGCCACCTTAATGATTGTACGTAATATTTATTGGTAAATATTAATGCAAACAAGTAAGAGTGTTATTTTCGGCTATGCCGAATCTTATATACCCACCATAAAATCACTGATCTTTAGATCTATTTGTATTTTTAAGCCAGTAATGAGCATTAAAGTCATTTTCTTAAAGAGACCTTATACGGGATTAGGGTTAATTATGGACCGATCCTCATAGAATATGGTAGAGAGATTTTAGCACAAAATTCGCGTTGTAGTAATTTTCTGAGGGGGAATTTATATGGGATGGGGTTATAATGGACTGATCCTCATACAAATTGGTAGAGAGATTTTGGTTCCTATAGAACTTATCAGTGTCGAATTTCATCGCTGTTTGAAGCTTTTTACGCAATATTCCGGGGGTACATTTGTATGGGGGCTATGTGAAATCGTTGACCGATTTTGCCCATTTTCAAAACCAAACATTTCTGACCAATAAAAAATATTTTGGTAAAAATTTCATCTCAATATCTCTTTTTTTGTGGACGCTATCGTGCCAACAACAGACAGACGTACGGACATAGCTAGATCGTCTTAGAATCTTACGGAGTTCCAGAATATATATACTTTATGGGGTCTGTGAACAATATTTCTATGTGTTACACACGGAATGATAAAATCAATATACCCCCCATCTTTTTTGATGGTGGGTATAAAAAATGTAAATTAGCCATATATTAAATGTACATTCCAATCTACGCATTTGCCAATGATGGGCATAAAATATCAAAAGAGGAAGTTTTTCTTTGTACAGGTGCATGATAATTACACATGCTCACAAATTTTTTCTGATTCTGAATCTGGAATCAGTATTTATCCATCACATCTGGGATTCGAGATATCGTGTCCAGGAGTTTGTAAAACCGCCCTTTTTAAGACGTTATAACAGTGACAACAAGACAACTTTATTTATAAAATATTGTATGCCATCTGAAAGTCCATTCAGCTTTAAAATAAAAGCTTAACATCTGGCATATCTTCTTCTTCGAGATATGTTATTATAAGACCTATTAAGTACTTCGTAAACTCTTATATTTGCTTTGGTTTATAATTGAGCAGAGAGGCAGTTTGTTTGTTCAACAACCTCGAATATTGGACGAAGCGATTTTAAGAAAATTTGGATCTTATCTAGGAAACAACAACATGGACGAAACAGGTTGATTTAAAAAATTTTAAATTTTAATAATTATTTTTGTAGCTTTAAACATTTGAATACCTTTGAGAAACATCATAATCTGGAGATCAGGTTTCTATATATTTGCAAATTTCAACTGAGAAACCTCATGATCTGAATATTATTTTAGCACCTTTAAGAAAATTTTTGAACCAAACTTCGAATGTACGATTTTAATATCGAATCGAATAAACGTAATGTCGAATTTTTAAGCAAAACATTACATTGTCATCAGGTGTCTACATGTTTACCAAATTCCAGCCTACTTGGGCTGATAACTGGTTCAAATTTCAATTGCTTACAATAAAAGATCGTAAAAAGGAAAAATGTTGGAGGATCTACCGAGTTATGTTACTGATTTAAGCTATAGAACATATTTTTGTTTTAGCTTTCTCAAGTTTCAATATATATTATTAAAGAACCTTTTCCAAAGACAACATTTGGGAGGCTGAAATCGAGTAAAAAGAGTGTTCTGTGCTTAAAATATATAAAACCCATAAAACGAATTTCACATGAATCGATTCGAAATTACTTTTAAGCCAACCCAATAGGTTTTAAAAGGTTTCACTTTTCGGTAATTCCCTAAATTTTTCTAAGAATTAATTACCAAAAGTCTTTATACAATAATGACCATTACAAAGCATAAAATTAAATGCAGCACGTTTTTTTTCCAAAAATAAACTTTTTTGGTCAAATAAAAACTAAATACAAAAGCCAAAATAAAAAAAAAATAAAGTTTCCGTTTTTTTCTTATTTTTTTAATTTTTATCATAAAAACATATGTATAAACGTTCGCCGAAGAATGTGGTAAATCCCAAAGACAAAGGAGGGTCAATAATAATTAACCAAAAACAAGTTTATGAAACCAATAACAACGACATTGACAACAACAAGAACAGTTAATAAGAAATACAAAAACTTGGTACCAATTGACGTAAACGGAAAACGGTCACAATGCGTACCAACAGACCAAACAGCCAGCATCAGTCGTTATCGTACTCACACTCTCCGATTATACCCCGTGCATATTGAAAAATATCAGAGTACAAACGAGTTCCATGCCATTCAGATAAATAAGAATTTTATGTATTTTTTATGGTCGCTGTGGCGACTATTAAGTTTCGCTGTGAAAAGGCAAAAACCACATTTACTAAAGGTCCGCATTTTTGGGGTATTTTTGTGAAAATGCAAAAAAACCCAAAACAAAAAAAGTTG